AGAAGTCTAAACAATCCCCCCCCCCCAGCCGCAACATTCTGGCTTTGGTTCTCCACAGCACTGCTATTCTGATGTAGAAAACCATAGGAGATGGATCAGTACACAGAATTTCCCCTCCTTATTACAGCCCCTCTCCTGCTTGCACGGCTTAGAGACCGAGTAGGCAGCAAACATGATGGCAGTCACTGTGTGCTTGAGAATCACCTGTGGATCTACTGCCATCCTTGCCCCACTGACAACCCACCGTGATTTAAAACATCCTTTGTGTTGCTTTACAATGATCTGAAGAATAGCTTTAAATCCTGAAAAACTGAGAGCAAATATTATTTTGAGTCCTTTCTGCCATCTTCTTAAACTATAATAAGCTACAAATTCCCAATATCTGACAATGAAGAAAGAAATCCTGTTACTTAATGCATAACATAATCCATTTATGCATAACATTTCATCCATAACATGGGTAACTGGATGCTTTGATTCTGCTAATAGATGGACCGGGACTTTATTCACTTCCCAGGGTCCCTTTCGGCCCTATTTTTATGATGCGGTACTGAGTATCTGAGCGAAATCATCAAGATGTTTGCAGAACAGATCTGTACACCCAACTGGCCTGATTTGTTCCTGCTTAGGTAGTGCCCATCGGAAAAGCCAACAGAAGACATCCATTTGTGGCTGTTCAGGGAAAGGAGAGCTTTCAACCTATCAGAGCAAGATGTCAGTGGAGATGAAGGTTAAGTGGGCATACCGATTCGTTCGGTGCCTAAAGAGAACAATGTTTAGGCTGAGGAACTACAACGGAGCTAATTTAATGAAAGGACAAATCAATTAGAGCTGAACTAACGAATATACCCCACCTTGTCACATGCTGCCTACCCGCAACGTGAAACGAGCTGAGGATTTTGTGCCTTATGTACAACAGGAAAGCACATTCTTAGGCAAATTCCAACCTTCCAGATAGCGACAGATAGTTAGAGCTTTAATTTTTTATGATGATGATGATGATTATTATTCCTTTGGAGTCTTCAGATCAGTGAAATACAAAGTTTGAACAGCCTGAGTAAGCAGGGAGCATGGTCAGCATAAGAGGCACAGGGCAAAATACCCCTCTGCTCCGCTGCTCCTGGACCTCGCAGGTCACACACGAGTAGCTACCCCGTACAAGCTGCCTTCCATAGGCGACTTGCCATAAAATCCTCCGCCACTTACTACTGCACAGTTAAAAGGTTTCAGAAGTCCCCCCTCTCGTATGAAGCAGGAAGACCAGGATCTTCCTTTAAAGACTCCCAGCTTTTTTATCCACAAAACAGAAACGTGCATCTATCCTGCCCTTCTGATGGTGCAGTTACAGACAGGCCCCTTCTAGAACGAGGACTCTAAAATACCCATAGGTTAGCCCACTGAATGTGTAACGTGCCCCCACTGGAGGAGGAGGCTGAACACCCTTTGCTTGAAGCATAATGGATTGCTTGTGTATTTTGTCCTGTTTGAGATACCTGTGGATAGCTTTTATGCCCATTTTTTACTGGATTGACTTCAACAGATTCAAAGTGGTTGGGGTCAGCCACATTTAAAAAATATTCTGTAGAGTCAGAGCAAGACTTACGGAAGCGGAAAAAAAGACGGTGACGTTTTGAGACAAAAGGACAAGCATCGTTTGGAGAACACACAACTGCCAGCAGCAACGCGGTGGAAAAAGGTTCTGGGAACATTCACCATAATGCTGTACCCCCTTCTAAAAACGTTGATAACCAAACCTTTGTAGTTCTTAACCTGGCATCCGAGCAGTAAGGAAAAAAAAAACAACTCGCTATTTTGGCAGACTGCTCATAATCATTTAAGTGGTTCCTCTTGTATCATCCTTTGGAAAAGAGAGACACAAATGTAAGAGAAGAGTGCACGGCCCTCCCCTTCCACAGGATAGCGGCTCCTACGCTTGTGGCTGGAAAGCATTTTCTGGTGCTGTTTAACGCTTTGACGCTAGAGAGGACCAAAATAAGACGCAGATATCAAGATGCTAAGTTCTGAGGGAAGCGGGCACAATCCGGAAGATGTATTTCACAAATGTGATGATTGAGACTTTTGCATCTTTCCTTGAAAATTGGTAGTGGGAAACCAATTAAACTGCAAGATCACAGGGCCAGTGATGGCTGACGTGTTACAATTTGTTCAGTGCTTTCGACCCTACCGCTGTTACCAACCGTGGGCAAAATACGATCTGTTACAGCAGTTAATACACTTCTTACGTTTTCCTAGCCTAAACCTGCCAGCCTAAGAGGGAAGAGACCCCGGAACAGACTCCAGTGAACTACTCTGAAGGGAAATACGAAGATACAGTTCTGTGCTTAACCCAGAAGAAGGCGAGACCATGAAGATCAAAGATACACAAAACCTGTGAGGTCACCGACGAGGATACCCGCTCGACCGCTGCTTTACACGGACCCGGCTAGCCAGGTGAGACGTGACTTGGCACGGAAATTATTTTCCAAAATGTAATTAGCAGCTATCAATGCGTTTGCTAGCTTTGTTGGTTGCTTTTCTTGTAAAAATGACCAGTAATTAGCACGCATATGAGAAAATATTTTGACAGATTAAAAAAAAAAGGCAGAAATAGGACAAATCTTTATCTTTGTAGGATGTAGAATGATAAATTATCAGAACTGATGAACAGAATTTCCTAGATGGCACCAGTCGCTATCGAGAAATAAAGGGAGATAATGCTAGTGAAAGCAAAGGAATTAATGCTACCTTGTTTGACAGGTATTTAATGCCTCCATTCACAACACTGTCCCTAAGGACGGGATCAGGCACGACCATCCAAGAGAGAGAGCTGTTCCCTGCAGGATACAAAAGGAGACATAGATTGCTTATTCAAGCAGCCTTCTGTCATTTGCAATTCAAAGCGCTGCTTTACTTTCTCAGATCACTCAAAACTCTCTTGTGACTGAAGTCATAACCTGAATTTGTTTATTCCATATCCTGCTTACTAATTCGCCGAGAAGTCCCTCTCAACCATGCTAACCATTCACTGCATCACATGGCTTCTTTTCCACACAAGAACAAATCAGCCCTCGCACTGATGCCTTTGTAAGCACATTGTCAAGATTTGTTCCACTTCAGCACCGAAGCCAAGCGGTGGCTTTGTGGAAGGAAGGTATCACTGTAGCAACGCGACGTACTGGTGATACCGCCCGGTTCCCCTTCTCCTCCTCCTCACCGTGCTGCGCTCCTGCCAGAAGTTAACTTCACCGATCCCCTTTGAGAGGGCAGGCAGGGCTGGCTCTATGGCCCCGACTCGGCACGCACGGAACAAAATGAGGACCGACTGCAGAAAGAGACGTTTGTAACGCCTTCTCCAGAAGAGAAACAGAGCAACTGCGCAGCTGGCCCGGTCGCAGCTAGAGAGCCTGAGCCTTCGCTCTGCAGTTGGCAGGGAGAGCTGCAGTGCCTGCGTCGGAAGGAAACCGTCTCCTTTCAGCAGCCCTCTTTGCCACGTTCAAGAGCAGCAGTGGTAGGATACAGCAGCTGACTAGAGACGGGGACAGAGACTGCGGAGATTTTCCTTCTACAAAATAGCCAGTTACTCCCCATCCAGGACACATGGATTTTTCTATCCACCTTGACTCTTACACCTCCAGTAATACAGATACCAAGATCCCGAGCTGAACAAATTCAGAGAGAAATTTCTTACTCAGGAGCAGGAAAGTGCAGAATTAACCAAGATCTGTATCACAAACTGACTTCAAACATGCAAAATAAAACCACCAAAGGAAGGATTTAATGTTGGGTTCCTGAGATTCCTACCATGCTGACAGTTTTCTGTGATTAAAAAAGCCGCGACACTTGTTCACAGAAATTCATTATGTAGCATGGTACGCTAAAATACAGGATGCTGTTATACAACCAAGCATCTGGGGAGATTAACCCTGATTTAAAAAAAAAATCTCTGGGAAAAGCAGCTATTTACTAGAACAAGGATGACGACAGAATAAACTACCAGATTTGTGCAACTGAATCAAGTTGAGAGGTTAGGAAGTGTTATTTTACCAAACAACAAATCAAACAGAAATATTTACATTGCTCATAAGAGATGCTGAGTACAAAGCTCCCAGTAATTTCCCACCAGAAAAACAGAGCAGTGTTCTTTGCAGAAAAGGGGGGCTAAAATGACCTGGAACATTCAGGAATGTGTTTCTTCATAGTCTGGAAGAAAAGGAGTTCAGGGAAGCCACGCAGGTGGGTGTCCTGAGAGAAATGGTGAATATGCACAAAGGGGCAGGCAAACCCACTCTGCAATTACAGCCATGCGCAGCAACAGGGAGACGAGGCCAGGAGGAAGACTAAGAGTGGGGTGAAAAAGCCTTTGGCTGAGCTGGAGATAAAAAGCATGTAAGGGTTCTCTTGTGTGTTGTAAAGCTATCCTCCCATAACCTCTAGGCACTTCAGTGCTCCATCTCAACACGCAGTTCAATAATTTCAGCTCTATCTCACCATTCTGAAATTCTCCATAAACACTACTGAATAACTGAAATGGCTTAAGCTTTTCCTGACAATCTTCTTGCATTCACATCTACATGCTCATTCTTCCAACCATGAAGCACCATTAGTACATGCAAAAAGCCTGTTCCTTGCACTAAACTAGCTGATTTATAAGGCATTTACTGTAACTGCATTTGGGCACAAACAAAGCAGTTTCTTTCCGTAAAGTGTCAGAACTGCCAGAAGAATCCATTTGTCCACGAAGAATTCTATCATACTGCAGTTATTACAGGAAAAGACAAGGAAAGGAATCTCAGACAAGGACATATGACTTGGCAGACGTGCGAAACAGAGTATCAGCCCAATATTCCAAGAACAAACTTAACTACTGCCAGCAAGCTGACAGCTACAGTTCATGCGCATCTGCTGTTTCCCATGAGCTGCACTTTGCAGAAGTGTGAAGTTAGACACTTAACAATTCTATCAAGTTAAGACGCTGAAGAAAAAACTCAGTGCTCTGAAGCCATATTAGAAAAATTTAATATGTTTTTTTCCAAGATCTAATATACAAATGCAATGGTAATAATGTACTCTTCTTCTGTAAGCTCGGATGAAATATATTGAAGTCCACTTTTTGCATATTACATAAATAATCATCTAAAGCAACCTAGAAAAGAAGAAAAAAGCTTAGTCCATATGGTGCACAAAAATAATTGGGCATTAAGTTTAAAAAGCAATACATGAAACCGAATGAGGAAATGCAAAAGGGCTTGACAGTCTGCCTGTTTTATGAAGTGGCAGCATAACCATCACATTCAAAGGATATAAAAAAGGCAGGTTTTGTGAAAAGCGGCATTATTTTTTACTAGACCAACCAGCAAATTGTAAGAAGAGACAAAATTTTGGGTCGTTGCATTGCAACGATGGTCTATGAACGCACAGACATCTTGGGCAAAATTATTTCGTTAAGAAGGATTAGAAGTGCTGATCAAAACCAGGAGGTTCCACAGTCAGACACACATCAGGATACTCAGAAATTTTAGGTGTTACATCCTCCCAAAACAGGCACATGAAGCATTAGTTAACCATGCTTAAGTGCATACTCTTCACAAACGTATTAGCACAGACACGAGTCCCTCACTTGAAGAGTGCATGATGTCACACCCACCGTACAGAAAAAAGCAGGGTATGCCTTCGCAGGAACTTTCTTACTGAAAGATCTAGCCTGAAAGTAAATGGGGTGAGGTGGGAGAAAAAAAAAAACAAAACAAAAAACATACATATCAGGAGAATTTAACGTGTCAGATTAAACATCAAGTACTGTATATAACAGTTAAAGCCAACAGACTGTATTCCGAGCCTCATCCCTTCTTATTTTGACATCCTGAAACTACAGTTTTTCCCAACGTGGAAGCCAGCACCGCCCCTCACTGTACACAAAGTACTTACACAGAGAGTATGTAATACTGGGAGGGGCCTGCTAACAATTTTATGATTTGACCCTACAGTTCGTATTTAATAAACCAATGTAAAGTAGCATCTCTTCTTTCAACAGAAGTTCCAAGTTGCATCTGATTTAATAAATGCAGTTTAATACTTTTTTCCCCTGCCAAACAACTCTTTGTGTCCCAAGAGGCAGAAATGATGGAAGACCAGAAATGCATTTCTTCACAAGTGTATCTTTTTGGTCCAGTGTTCCCATCAGTCCCAGAAGTCCAGTTAAGCTCCACTTACATTTATGGGACTCCAACTGGATCTCAATGCCTCAAGTCCTCAGTATTGATGTATAAAGAGTCTAAACCAAGAGTCTATAAACCAAGGCTGAACCAAACCCACGTGCAACTCAGGTCTATCTAACAGAGATGAAGCAAATCTTCCTGTAATGCTTATTTTAAAACACAAAATCCCTCATTTTGCTTTTTCTTACCGGTTAAAACAAAGCAACCAACCCACCCTTTATGAATACCGATGAATATGCATGTTTGTTAGTCTTCCGTGGAACTTCCCAGACAACTGAGAAAATCAGGCTGAAACTTTAGGAGGCAAAAACACAGAATATTTTCAGAGGGCAAATTATTTTAAAACTCTGAGAGGTAATAACACGTGTATGTGTACATATATATATATGTGTGTGTGTGTGTGTATATATATATGTAATATATATGCTCTTCCCTGATATAACGTTCCACTTTACTATTATTCGTGGTGAGATGAGAAAAGAAAGCCATCTCGCTTGACCTTCTTAACCCAGCATGGGCCGCATGTCATGCAGAAAGCACATTACCTTCCTTGGTAAAACGAGTCCCTAATGATCTAGCATAACTGAGATAAACGCCAAAAGGAGACCTTCTTTTTAAAGAGGAACGGGGGAGGGGGTGCTTAAGCAGGGGAACGTATAAATGTATTTGCAGGCTTTCAAAAGGATCACCGCGGGGCTGAGCGAGCACTTTTATGATACGCTTTTACTAATAAAACACACAATTCCTACAGAAAACTGCAGTCTTCATTGTCTTATTTTGCCCTCTGCTGGTCATCGGTTGCTCTATCAGGAAAAGCTGACCACACCTTACAAACTCTTCTCCCCAAATTAAGCACCTCATTACTACAATATCCTTCACATAATATTGCCGAGACTTAATGTAGCATTTGAGGCTCTGACTGTGAAATGGGGCTGGTAACTGCTGCCCTCACCCTCCAAAACACGCGGTTTGTGTAACAACTGCCGAGACTGTTGAAACCTCAAGTTTAAACTTTGCCCTCCTCTGTAATTCCCACGGAGGGTAAGTGACTGAAAAGACCCCCAGGCTAAACAAGGTGGTGAGTTTATGCCGGAGGACAGACCCATTTAAAGGCACCAGCCCAGCACATTCACCTGAGGTCCTGACACACGCAGCAAACGTTGCCAGCAAAAGCCGCTTTCATCCATTAGGGGAGAGAGTATCTTTATCCCTGCATTAACGAAGACCATCTGATTATCCAGGAGGCCACATACCCTGTCATTACTGCCAGTTATTTGAACACTCTAGGGACCGTGCACGGTCAATTGTTCTTCACTGATGACGAGGGGGGCTGGAAACAAGTATCCAGAGAGGAATTTTTAAATTTCAATTAAGATGATATAGCCCATCCATTAAAAAGAAAAAAAATAAGGAGGGGGGGATGCCCAGGTCAACATTCAATTGAATAAAATGTTAATGCTGCCCTAATCTGGTTTCCTTGTGTTTACCCTTTTCTGTAGAGTCTCCAATTACATGATCACGTTGCATAGTTTCCATAGGACCCTCCCAGCGCATAACATGGGTAGGGCTCTAGGAATGGAGTGGGAAGGAAGGGGGAGTGAGGTTCTGCCCGTTCCCTTCAGCAGCTGGTTGGCACGTTGGGAGCCAGGGGACCAACACACTAAGAATTATCAAACTATCTGAAAGGCTCCGAAGAACTGAATTCTCTCCCTGCTTCTGTCCCAATGTTTCCATGCAATACCAGCAACCAGATTTTAAACAGCTGGACAATAAATACACATAGCTCATTTTCCATGACTCCCATCCCTGATCAAAGGCATTTCAGGCCAGGCACTTGGCATTTTTTTTCAAGCCACAACTGCTAGCAAAATCAATGGGTTTTATACACTGTGCATTATGGGTTGAGGGGTAAGGAATAAAAAAAAGAAAAAATCAAAACATTTCAGCTTAAACAACGATAGTGGACAGTTCTGACCTTGCATTTTTTTTGTTTCTGTTCCCCGCTTCTAAATGGAATAAGCAGTTTCTTTGGGCATGTGAAACCCAGACATCAGGTGAAAACGTGAACAGGAATGCTTTAAATGCAAATTATAAATAATCTGCATTAAAAATAAAGCCCAAGGCTACGTATTATTAACAAAAAAATAAAAATATTAATCAACTAACCTACCACTGACTGAACAAACCAGGGATGCCTCATTTTACCTTCAGAAAAATGAAGAAGGGCTCTCCTATCTCTACTGCAAAAAAACCTGTGATCACAGGTAACACTGTAATTGAGCATTATATTAATGATGTAAACGCAGAGATAAACCTGGCATCTCTTTACTTTGAAGTGGTATCTTTTCCGACTACCTTGAGTGGAAGTATCGGGTGTAATACTCAAAGTGTATGGCGTGCAGGTACTTGCAGACAGAAACTCTTTACAGTGCTGCTTGCAAGTTTTCTTTTCCAGACGAAGGCAGGCACAGCACTGCTGATGAAACATTCCTTTGCTTTTGTATTATGTACAACAAGCAATTCAGAGTGTAGCTAAAATAGGAGCATAAAAGAAAAACAAGAGCAGGACTCTGCATTTCTTCAGGATTCATTATCCACTGTGCCAAGCAAATAAAGTCTTTCCTAATTCACTCGGCTGTGAGCCAGAGTATAAATAAACAGAAAGTACCTTTCCCAACACAGCTTTGAGCATGGCTGGTCATGTCAGGGAACGAATCCCTCCTCCCACACACTAACCAGCAGCTAAGGGCAACACGCTCTGCCTTCCTGGCAGCCACTCGGCCGTGCTGCCAAGTACCAGACGCACAAGCGCTTGCTACGGAGCTGATCCTGGGCTGGCATACAACTGCATTTGTTCAGGTCTGCTTCAAGGTTCTGCCCCTGTAATAAGGCTTTTAGGTACTATTTATATATATATACATACAGAGAAATAGAATACTCGTACAGAAGTAGCTGTAATATTTAAAGGTTTTGTGTGGTCTGTTTCTTTTAAATCTAAACTCTTGAAGTAATTAAAGGTAAAATATTTGAAATGAAGTCTGCAGCTGTAATCTTCTAATATGCACAATTCTTTGCGAAGATTAGCATCAATTCCATTTATTTAAAATAAATAAAAAAGAAGGAATCTCACATGTTCTAGATGAATATGGGCCTGGCTGGCAATGTCATAAATTACATCTCTCACATTTTTCTCTTGCTTGCCTCTTATGAAATCCTCTTGTGAAACTCCATGCTAGACACAGGAAGGAAAATCAAAAAGAGGAAAAAAAAAAACCAAACCCTCAATAAATACCAAGTTTCCATTTCAGCTTCTCAAAAGCCTGTCCCAGCAACCAAACTAACGACATAAGACTGAAACAGCCTTGATGTTTTACCACGGTCCTCTCCTTTTTTATTCCCATCCCCACTTTTTTCGTCACTCACTCAGAAAAAAATTAAAGAAAACAAAAGAGAACAGTTGGTACAGACTCCCTCTCCGTGACTGTGTTCCCTAAAGACCTTGTGGTGTGTCAGATAACCAAGTCGGATTTTAAAGTTTTGGGAATTTACATGAGTTTAGATGCTCAATTTTTAAAACCATAATAAAAGAATCAGTATTAAGCAGAAGAAAGCCATTAACTGCTAACTCAGAAGCCATGCTGGCTTATGAAGTAAGTCATTATCTTGGGATTGGTGTGTACCATCAGGCTTGCAGAACAAACAAGCAAACAAAAAACCTCAAACCCACAACAAAAAAACAATAATAAACCAAAAACCAAACTAAAACCACCTAAAAAATCCCAATCTCTCCAAAAAACCCAGTGTAAGACATAACATGGTATATTCAGAATTGCACCAGTTGCCTGCTCTTCTCAACAAGGCTCAGACATGAGAAAGGCAGGCAGGAAGGTGTCTCAGGAGACAGAGATTCCAGCAGCACTCTGCGATGCTTGCCAGCAGCTGAAATGCTTACAAGCTGCCCAGCCTGCACAGAAGGGATGCAAGCGGGTTTCAGTTTCACTGTAAAACACCTTCCGTGGCAAGGAACGACTGTGAATTTTCAGGCTATGTTTGAAAAGCTAAAAACTTGGAAGGCCTCCCATACCATCCAGTCCCAGAAGGGCTGAAAGCAGGGTGCAGCTCCTTCCCACAGTCTTCCCACCCTGACCTATATTAGTGTCTACGTGTTTCTGCAACTACCTAAATTACTAAACTTCACAACAAATATTTCAATTGTATTCAAATTATATTCGGAAAATACCAACACAACTGCCTCAAACATCACCATAATTAGGAGTAATTAGCAGATTAGGTGTATAGTTTAAATTGGAGAACTACACCATCTCCTACAGCAATGTATGGCATGTATGCTTATAGCTATCAAATATATAACAAAAAAAAAAAAAAACCAACAAAACACACCACCGGCACTTTTATGAAAAGGTAGTGAAGAGAAACCCAAGGAGGTTGTTCAAAAGTAAAATTTCTCACAGTGCTTCCTTTCTGGGGATAGGGAAGAAGAAAAAAACCCAAACAAAACCCCTAAACCCCAGGCCCCAGTCCTTATGTGTATTTCTACACAGTAATGGAAAAAAAAAATCCTGAAAGCTAAAGTACTATTACATTTAATTTAAAAAAAAATTAATAATAATAATTTTTTTTTAAAACCCCAGAAACCCTAGAGTTTCCTGAAGGTCACTCCTCTCACCTCCCAAAAGATATAAACTCATGACAATGGCATATTACTAGGCTACAGCAGAAAGAGTTAAAATAAAGAAAAAAGGTGTCCTGTTTCTGGCCTAATAAATCATGATCTCATATCCAGCATTGGGAGACACCGTTAGAAACACTACACTCTCCGATTCCAGCCAACCTCCTTCTCTTACCAACATACAAATGTCCATGGGAAGAAAGACCTTTTGTCTCGAACTATGAAAGGGAGTTGCTCGTAAACAGGTAACTATGCCTTGCGCCTTCCCGATGTGACTGGCGGCATGGTCGGCATGGATGTCCCTCACACCTAAAATTGTAGAAATAATATGTTTAGAAACATACCGTCAGACCTTTTGAGGGGTATAGTCTGCCCTGATGTGTATCGCAGTCATATTTAAGGAAAGCTAAGTGGGCAGGTCCATGACAGAACTGTCTGTGTTGATAAACTGCCTTGAGATCTCATCTCAGAGGTGCAAAGCAGCAGGCAAACTCACTGATTTTCACACTGAGAAGCAAGATGCCTCTTAGCTTGTTGCAGTTTCTGCAAAAGGTGTACCTAGAGCGGCATCTATTCAGATACATCGGTACACAAGCTCATTTTCATTGGCACATCCTCTCCCAGCATAACAGTATTCCAAGATTTGGTTTTCCTGCCAGCAAAATCATTCAAGTGTGAGACTCCTGACAAGCATTAATGCTTACAGTAAGGTTTCATGATGAGCTGCAGCAGTGGACTGAAGCCAAAGAGAGTGGTCCTAAGCTTCCTGCCCCGAAGCCGTATTTCTGCCACCTCCCTTGTGCTGTTAGGGGCAGCGAGGCAGCAGCATGGCAAACCGGATCAGACGACTGAAGCAGTGGGAGACTAACTCCAGTTACTGCACAGTCACACAGCTGTGAGAACTGAGACAAGAGGGAGATGAGTGGGGCAGAGCAGCACCACTGCTCTTCACAGCAAGACGGTACAAGGTTGGCTTAGACTGACCATAAAGCCATAATGATTTCACAGGACTGACACAGGATCAAATGAAAATCTATGAAGGAAAATGGGAATTAAAATTCACAAAAGCTCTAACAGAAGCAGCATTCTACAAAGAAAAAAATAAAGGAATAAAGGAATTGATAGGTGAAGGGGTTTATTGAGGATAAAGGAATTGATAGGTCAAGGGGTTTAAATTGAAAGAGGGTAGATTTAGATTGGACATCAGGAAGAAGTTCTTCCCAGAGAGGGTGGTGAGGCATTGGAAGAGGTTGCCCAGAGAAGCTGTGGATGCCCCATCCCTGGAAGTGTTCAAGGCCAGGCTGGATGAGGCTTTGAGCAACCTGGTCTAGTGGAAGGTGTCCCCACGCATGGCAGGGGGGTTGGAACTTGATGATCTTTAAGGTCCCTCCCTATGAATCTGAGATGCTATTCTAATTGCAGACCAAGGAACCTGACACCAGATTCGCTGCCCAAACCTACCACAACACCTGGGTCTCAGAAGCCTTTGCAAACCAGTGGCTATAAGTAGACTACACTGACTTGTTTTGGCCGTGGCAGCAGAAAGCAGAGTGTGGCTTGGAGGTATCAATGGAAATAACTTACTGACTGGGCAGCTCAGGCTTTACCTATAACTAGGAATCAAAAAAATAAAAAAGCTCGGAGTAAGAGTTAGCAATGACTCATGTTCAACCTGGGAATATATCCCAAAAGTGAGGTTCTGAATAAGTTTAACAAAATTGAGTGGTTATCAGATTCCTAACTACTTCGGCGATGAATCAGGGAGCACAATATTAGTATTTTTGAACTACAGGCGCCACGAGGAAGTACCAAGACTTTGGACAAGATTACCAGTCAAAATGAGCTTGAACAAAAGAAGAAACCCAAAATCAGTAAAGACAAAGCAGCACTACTGCAGGGAGAGGTACATACAAACCGGAGCCAGGTCAGGAATAACGGAGCTAAAAAGCCCACAAAACTTAGCACTAACATGACCTGTAACAAAACCAGGGCCACCTGGTCTAGAAAAGACTGGTGATGGGAAACACCAAGAAAATGGCTGTGTCCAATTAATTTCTCCATTTATGGAAAAAACCCCAGAAGTTAACTGTTTCATATGCAGTGAAGAAGACTTTTGCTTAAATATTGTGTTACACTGTTGTATTTAATAGAAGTTAAACATGACAATAGGGCACCCTAGAAAATGCAGAGCCTCCAAAACAGACTTTAAAGAACAGGATCATCTGACTTGTATCAGGAGTGACCCAAGCATGACTGGACTTCTTCGGGATCAAAGACATTTCTCCATATGGAAGACGCTGATATTTCTCACACTCCTACATTTTTTCAATCAGAAGTTCAGAAAGACTTGCAACATGTCACTGATTTCCTGCAGCGAGCATCGGATGTTACAAGATTGGATCTTCATTTCTTCCTAAGAAGAATGTGTTCATCATCTCTCTTTCTTTACTTCTCTTTTTGTTTTTAAACGCTTTTAACCTCAGCATTGGCTTTCCATCAGACTAATCTGATAAGCCAGAGGAAAATATTGCTATTACAATAAACACCAAGTACCACTAAATAATAATAATTCTCACCCTTTTTTTACACCTAAGCTCATACAGGGACTACTTCCATAATGCAACATACACCTATAAGAAAGTTACCCTTTTCTTCACTGCACAGGAACAGTTCTTTCCTAATCTGAGACTCTTATATTACATGACACAGACACTTGCTCTTAACCACAAGGATCACATCGTCTTTGTTGCGTTTCTTCCTAGCTATTCAATTACTGATAGTTAATCCACTTTTAGGAAGAAGAGAGGATTCCATCCCAAACTTACAACATCAGCAAAGGAAACTTATAGGTTGGGAAGTCACCTGTTTCAAGATAAGCAGGCTATCTCACTGCGATATGGAACAATAGCTACACAATAAGTACAGCACTTGGTGTTTCTGACAAGTGTGACAATTAGAAAATACGATCAAGAGCTGAATTTACCACACTGTAACAGGAGCAAGTAAAGAGAAAACAGAGCAACATAGAACAGAGCAGTAGGAAATAACACATCAGTGAGCTTTCCCCTAAGCAGCTTCTAAGGAAAGTAAGTAGTTCTAGGACAGGTGGAGCAAGATTCTGGATTTATGGTGGAGCATTGAAAAGGTATCTGAAGTATTAACTAAGACAACTTCTAGCACTGGAGCAGGTTGCCCAGAGAAGCTGTGGATGCCCCATCCCTGGAAGTGTTCAAGGCCAGGCTGGATGAGGCTTTGAGCAACCTGGTCTAGTGGAAGGTGTCCCTGCCCATGGCAGGGGGGTTGGAAATAGATGGCCTTTAAGGTCCCTTCCAACCCAAACCGTTCTGTGATTCTATGATTCTACTGAAATTGAACTCCAATGGAAAAGAGTGAGCTCTTCGAAACATCAATAAATATTGTACCTGCACTGATGAATCATCAACAAAATCTAAAAATGGGAAAAAGCCTACCCAGCATTTCCAAGATGAGGTACAAGAGAGCACTCTGAGTGTTCTCAGAATACGTCTCAAGCTCCTGGATGTTACGGTATGCTCTGTCATCCAAATTTTTCTCCTGTAAGATGAACACAGAACTTCAGTAAAATGTAAATGTAACAGCTATTTGTAAAATATTTTTACTATAGTCATGCCAGCCTAATCCACTATTAGAGGAAAAAAAAAAAAGACAAAATTAAGAGATAGGAAGCAAATATAAACTCAGATAGAAGTAGTCATTAAAGCTTATAGCAAGTCTAACATAACCAAATAACTACATGCAACAACAGCCAAGTCTGGTTACTGGAGCAAATATAACCTCTTGCAATAAAAATAACTCTGAATTCTTCATCAAAGAGATACAGCCAAAACAAAACATCATATCATATTCTTACACTACAGACCTGCCAATTGTAGTACTTAATTTGCATCTGAAGCACAGAGAAAGTTAGATAAGTAGAAGTATGTTTTTTAAAACATGTACAAAAATCAACCCAACACATGAGTTTCAAAGTCATATGCAAATACACCTGAAAATATAACATCCTCCATCATTCTTCTTGTCCTAGGGGCTTTGACGGTTAAAACATGCGAGTATTAAGATTAAAAAATGGTGTTAATATAAAAAACTCTGAGGTTGTTCATAGCAATGACACTCGGCAAGTAACCATCAATATTCTCAAGGTGTAACTTGACGAGTCATTAACTCTAGCAGCAAAGCTAGCTTAAGAAACTCCTGCCCTCAGCTGATTACTCTTGCTCTTGTGTCAGAGCTGGCAGCAGCATCACTGTACCAGTGAAACTCCCTTACTTCTTCCCAGAAAAAGGGTGGATATTTTAAAATGCCTGTGATTTCAATGCTCCAATTTACAGCTCTGCTTAGGAAAAACTCCACAGCCACAAAAAGAAGCATCAAAGTGTGGCAGAAAGGTTCAAACAGGTCATTTAATATTTGAGATTTTATATCCATGAGTCATCCCAAGAGAAGGCTATTTAGGGGCAAAACTGACATGATAAGAAAAGAGGCGAGGAGGAATACGATGCCAATGATGTAGATTTGTGCAACTTATTGCAAAATACAAGATGTCCTTTCTCCTGGGGTAAGATCGCAATGGCACAAAAAAGAGACCGTGTATGAGTTTCTCTTCTTTCTCTTTCTCCTTCTCTTTGCTGCCTTTCATCATAGGAGAGGTGCTCCAGCCCTCTGATCATCTCCAGAGGAGGCCATGAAGATGCTCCGAGGGCTGGAGCACCTCTGCTATGGGGACAGGCTGAGAGAGTTGGACTTGTTCAGCCTGGAGAAGAGAAGGCTCCGGGGAGACCTTATAGCACCTTCCAGTACCTGAAGGGGCTACAAGGAAGCTGGGGGGGACTTTTTACAAGGGCCTGTAGTGACAGGACAAGGGGGAATGGGTATAAATTGAAAGCGGGGAGGGTTAGATTAGATATCAGGAAGAAGTTCTTCCCGGAGAGGGTGGGGAGGCACTGGAACAGGCTGCCCAGAGAAGCTGTGGATGCCCCATCCCTGGAAGTGTTCAAGGCCCGGCTGGGTGAGGCTTTGAGCAACCTGGTCTAGTGGAAGGTGTCCCTGCCCATGGCAGGGGGGTTGGAACTAGATGGTCTTTAAGGTCCCTTCCAACCCAAACCACTCTATGAGTCTATGATTCTTGCACATCTTCATTTCCATTCCTATTAAAATGTAATTTTTCGGAATTCTTAACAGTTGCATATGGAGACCTTACCACCTAACCACATCGGACGGAACTTCCCTCACTTACATACAAAAAGGTGTCTAAGTGTAACGTCCAATGGATTCCTTCTAGGAGTGACCACTGCAAAGGAGGACTACAGACCAGCAACATGAGCACAGACACACTCGCCATCAGAACAAGGAATAAGATGTGGATTCACGAACTACATCTATTTTAAAGCAAAAATAAACACAGGATTGTATAGCCATTTTGGCCAGAAAGAGTACAAATTCTGAGTAGGGGCCTCAAGGAAGAATGAAAAGGAAATATAACAGTAGCATTCGTAAAGTGAAATACTACTGTCTGGAAAAGATGAATTACTTAAGCTTCTGTTTTGCAAACCAACACATAAAAATAAGGGAAAAACACCCCAAATATGACTAAAACCAGAATTGACTTTGAACGGTAAATACTTACCCTTTCATCAATGATCTTCGTGAACCACATTTTAGTCAGGTTATGCCTCTTGACAGCCTGAAAATCACCAAATGAAACATCAGTGTTATACATTCTGAAGGCTGAAGTGTATTTTAGATAATACTTTTCTTACAAGGATTGTATTCACTGGGCTAAATCAAAGTGGCACGTCAGTGAAAAATGAGAATTCTCCTCAAATACAAAAATTATCAGCTGGCATTTGTTGCAAGTTCTTGCACACAGGAAATGAAATCTCGGACATCAAGCCAGTTAACTAAAAGCATTCCTTCAAAAATATTTTTTCAAGTAATGTACGTTTTCATGAAGTCCTATGTTGCCACAAATATTTGCAGGTAACTATGGTCACCTTCCAAAGAGAACAGAGGTTCCTCCAGAGTCAAGCAACGAAAAGATCTCCCCTGCGAATTTTCCAGAAAACATGAGTACAGCATACCTGTATGTTAGGACGCTGTCTTTACAGGACAAAGTCATGTAAATATACCGTGGGTTTGTTGAAAAAAAACTATCCCACAGCATCTCATATTCACACATTCTCCTTTTAGCTCTTATCTTGTATTTGACTTCGTTCCCGTATCACTTCATTCTATCAACTTACCTCTTACACACACAGAATTGTGCAGACCACATTGTGAGAAAGCTTACAGTGAGACATATAAATATTCACCAACAAAACTTGCGGAGCAGATTTCTCACAATCTCAGATTTTATAGCTCAATTTCTACTTCTTTACATCCATTATATTTGTAAATATTTTTTCAAGGTTTGACAAGACTAGTTGCAACTGGTATATCAGTACCTGAACAATTTACAGGGCCGTGTTTTGGATCTGTGCTGAAAACAGTGGTCATACCACAGGGATGTTTTTGTTATTGCAGAGCAGTGCTGAGACAGAGTCGAGGCCTTTTCTGCCTCTCCACCACCCCACCAGCAAGTCAATCGGAGGTGCACAAAAAGTTGGGAGGAGACACAGCCTGGACACCTGACCCCAGCTGACCAAAGGGATATTCCAGAATGTCGTCATGCTCTCAGCAATAAAACTGGGGAGGCAGTTGGGGGCGGTGGAGAACGGGACACTGTGCTCAAGGACTGGTTGGGCATTGGGTGGTTGGTGTTGAGCCATTTTTTTTCACTTGTATCACTTGTCTTTCTTCAGCATTATTATTCTGTTATTTTTTCCTCTTTTCCTTACAATTATTATTTCTTTTTAATTATTAAACTGTTTTTATCTCAACCACCAGTCTTTTACCCTTCCAATTCTCTCCCCCATCCCACCAGGATGTGACCAGGAGTGAGTGACCAGCTGTGTGGTGCTTTATTTGCCAGCTGGGATTAAACCACAACAATGTTTTGGGGTTTTCCTAAGTTACTCTTCTAAAAATAAACATTTCCACACCACATTGATACACAAAAGCAGCCCAAAATTAAAAGTGGTCGAAAGAATATTTACAATCATACCCAAAACTAATTTGTATCTAACTGACTCAATCAGACAAGTAAAGGAGAGACTATCTTCAGAAATAAAAATAACTTAACCTACACCAAAGCAAGTTTTGTCTTCTTGGAAAGCAGACAAAAGCATTTTGGGAGAGAACAGTCTAATTCCTGGGAAGTTTGCCATATGCTGGAAGACAGACAGAAAAGCAGGAAATAAAAAAGCAAAGGCACAGACAGACCGACACGCAAAATGACTAATTCTGCATTTTAATATCAACCCTAGGTGCATCTTCCACTCCCATAAAATGGCTCACAACATTTGCCAGTCTTCAGTCTAACTGTATGAATGCTTTGTCGTGGCTAAGGCACATACTTATCGGAGCTGGAGACACCCACGAATAGCTCTGGTCCTCCTAACAGGGATTACAACAGGTGTTTTCCTTTTATTTTACTTCTTGGCTTTACCTATGTTTCCTCTTAGTTAAACAAACTGTATCTTGTTTTAATCCCAATTTTAATCTAACCACAAGTGTTGATAGACAGATCAAATGCTCACTCACACTTTATTTCGCATTTGAAGGAAGAAGAGTCAGGTAGAGGCCACATTTTCAACACTGCCAAAAATCACTGACAGGATTTTGAAAGGAGTCATTTTTGTGGTCTCAGAGGTGCAGCAGAGTTGATGTGAAGCCAAGAAGGCAACAAGTGAAACACTGTAATCCTGCAGTAACTGCACTGTTCTAACCCTGCGCTACAGTGTGTCCTGCTTTTCCCAGGATTTTAAAAGGAACAATGCAGACGAATACTGGAGTGAAGACTCCACATTTCACTGCCTATTTTTCAGCAGTTCCATAAAGCTAACTATACCTATGGGATCTATGTTAACTGTATTCAGCGATTGAGATCTAGACAAACTGCAGCTTTCCCTGTCCCCAAGCTCAGAGATCTTCAGTTTAAATGCAAGTTCTGATCTTACAGAGTAGAGGCCTTATGGTAGCTGCTCTTCTGGAAGGTTCCAAGACTTGCTGTGGCCCGTGGCTGTATGATGACAAGTTAACGTATGGAACTTCCATCCCCAAAGATATTCAAAATTCAACTCTATGTGACCCTAACAACCTAATCTAACTTTGATCTTAGACTTTGAGTGACAGGTTGGACTAGATGACAGCCATTTTCCTGTGGTTGTCTATCAGCATCAAGGAGAAATCCATTTACACTGCTTTCACACCTTCGATCATCCATCAAACACATCAACGACAGTCCTAACCAAAAACAAAAAATTCTGTAAGCAAGCCTCTGCTTTTTTGGCCATGACCAGCAGAGGAACAGATCTGTAGGTGTACTTGATGTGTGATGTTCTAGTGTCTGCAGAACTCGGGCATCCTGGTAAAAATAAAGCGCAACGTTCGCAAGTACAGTCCCTGTTAACGCGCTGTTAAGTTCGCAAGTACATTCCCTGTTAGTGCACACAAAAGGATCTGTGCAAAACATAATACATCAATAGAAGTCATCAAGCAACTCCTGATGTGAGGAGAATGCTGTATTAAGATTCTTCCTATTATCCAGTAACTAGGTATGATGGTGTCGTGGTTTAACTCCAGCCA